TCAGCCCAGTTTGGCAAGCGATTGAGATCATTTTATAGGACTGCCCTCTCCTAATCATTACTTGTCTCTCTGCCAAAACATATGTCCCAGAGACTGAAATCTCCCATGATAACGCAGATACACAGTAAAGAGTGTCTCACAGTGAAAGGGAGAGAAGTACAAGGGGAGAGAAGTGTGGCTCTGTGTGTGTAACCCGAACATCCCAGATGTTTTGGAACACTCAGTGGAATCTTCCCATCGTTTTTTGTTTGTTTGTTTGTTTTTTGATGGAATTAAATAGTTTCCTTCTGAATGACCAACTTCACTCTGCTCTCACTAATACGGGTGTAAATCCAGAATCATTCCAGGTTTACACCAGTGTGACTGACAGCAGTTTTGGCCCCAAGCATTCCATTTGCTTTAAAAATCTCCTATTTAGAAAGATTCTGGATTAGCTTTAATCTAAACTGCCCCAGCTCACCTGAACCCTGTCTGCATCTCCTTCCCTCAGCACATGCTGAAGTCACACACAAACTGCAGGACTCTCCCCTCGGCCAGGATCAACTGGGTGAGAGTATTTATACCCCCGAATGACCCCTGCTGACTTTACTCCCCAGGTGGGAGGTGAGAGACTTGGGTCATTATAGTGGTACATTCGCTTTGGAGCCTAGAGAGTCACAGCAAGTGAGTGTTAGGGCTTTGCTTGGACTATGAAGACAACTGGACACTGGTTTGAGGAAGAGATGGATAATGACATCTTACATATACGTGGCCTCTTTTATCCAGAAGAATTCCCCAAACCTCATTCTAGAACGGGGTGTCCAATCTATGGCTCCGGAGCCACATGTGGTTCTCCAGAAGTTAATATGCGGCTCCTTGTACAGGCACCGACTCCGGGGCTGGAGCTACAGGCGCCAACGTTCCAATGTGCCGCGGGGTGAGGGGACACTCTCAGCCCCTGGCTCTGCCACAGGCCCTGCCCCCACTCCACCCGTTGCGCGCCCTCCCCTGAACCTGCCGTGTCCTCGCTCCTCCCCGCTCCCCTCCAGAGCCTCCTGCATGCCAGGATACAGCTGATTGGGAGGTGCGGGGAGGGAGGGGAAGGCGCTAATCGGCGGGGCTGCCGGTGGGCGGGAGGCGCTGGGAGGAGGGGCGGGTAGCTGAACGGGGGGCTGCTGACATATTTCTGTGGCTCTTTGGCAACGTACATTGGTAAGTTCTGGCTCCTTCTCAGGCTCAGGTTGGCCACCCCTGTTCTAGACGGACCCACTCACCCATTGCAGACATGCAGCCAGCTCTGGGGTGGAACATAAGCAGCAACACTACACAATTGCAGCTGCTACCACTTCCTCTTTGGGTAGGAAGAAGGGCCCCCTGCATAGGCATAGTTTGACTTCAATATTTGGGGGCAGCTCCAGCCAGGACAATGGGCCACCCTTGGGGGACAAATTCCACCCCTGCCCCAGGCTTGCAGTGCTGGGCCCACTGTGGGGTTGTTGCTGTCCCGTGGTGCCGGGCACCTGCCCTGGTGTCTGTTCAGGTCTTGCATAAGGACCCGGAGGGGGGTGGGGAGAGAAGGGATTTAACCATGGCCACACGGTGGCTAATGTTCAGTGTCCAGAGCCGGGGTGGGGGGAGGGCGCTTGAAAGCCATGGCTGGAAAGCACCCAGCCTCCAGGAGCTTGGGGTGGGGCTGGCTCTGCCCCACTCCTGCGTGTGGGTTTCCTGCTGACTCGAGCCAGCCCCGTGCTCGGTCACATGGTGCCGCCGGGCCCCTTCCCCGTGAGGCGGCTGGCCGGAGCCAGGCCAGTCAAGTGAGCGCAGAGGCCAGGAGAACTGCATGCTGCACCCCGTGGGGAGAGGCAGGAGCTACAGCTGGGCACGGCAGGGCGAGGGCAGCTTCTTTCTGGGGGGGGAGAGGGAGGGTAAGGGAGGGGCCTGCCTGGGACGAGGACGTGACTCGACTTGTTTGGGGGTGGCCGAACCTTTACATTGTGCCCCCACACTACAAATATATGCAGGTTGATAGTGCCCCCTCCCGCCTCGCCCACCAGGCCGGCAACCCATCCCCCCCTCAGCCGGACCAAATGGGACGGGGCTGTGAGCAGCTGCCTGGCCTCCCTGGGCTGAAGGGCGTGTGCAGCTCCTCGGGCAACGGGACCAGGCAGGTGCTACAGCCAGACCCTGCCAACACCCTGCACTTCAGCAACCCGCTGTGTGCCTGGAGGTCATCACCAGGGGTTGGCAACTTTCTAATGCCTGAGAACCAAACGTCTCTGCCACACCCCTTCCCCTGAGGCCCCACCCCTGTCACGCCTCTTCCCCCGAGGCCCCTCCCCTCCCCACCTCTTCCCCAAGGCTCCGCCCACTGCCCCGCCTGTATCTCCCCTCGTCGCTCATTCCCCCACCCCCCGGGACTCACGTGCCACCTGCAGAGCCGGGCTGGGAGGAGCTGATGAGGAGCCTGCCCAATCGGGGCGCAGCGGGGTGGGGGAATTGGGGCATAGCGGGCGGGACGGGGGGGTCTGACAGGTTCCCTCCCCGGCCAGCGCCGGTACCTACTTTGTGCCGGGAGCAGCCCAGTCTCTCCAGACGCCAGTCCCAGCTGCTGCTCTTCCTGCACCCCGGTGGCAGAGGCGGGTTACTGCAGCGGTGCGGTCCGGTCGCTGACAGCTTCCCCTTTCCGACCGGACATGCCGGTCAAAACCGCACACCCGGCAGTAACCCTGTCATCACCCGGCAGCCCTGCCGCAGGCACCTTCCAGTAACCTGGTGCACCTCACAGGCACCCCCCGCCCGGGAACGACTCAGGGGCCACCACTGCTGGGCAGAGGGACACACTCGTGCCGGGCCCGGCTGTTACCTATGTCGGTCCAGATCACGGCATTGTCCAGCTGGAAACAGAGTGGCACCGCCCAGCCCCAGTCCCTGGGGGGCAGCAGGGCCGATACTCCAGGGGACCCAACAGCCACGGATCATGGGGTGCGGCAGCTCGGAGCAGGAACAGCCATGAACCCTCCTGCCACCTGGCAACCACCTCCTCTCGGGTCCAGCCCCTTCTCCTCGCCCATCCCCGGCACCTCTGCTTTGCACTCTGCCACACACCGGAGACGCTGGGCTCCTCTGGCCCTGGGTGGGGACCATCGCCAGACACCACCCCACCAGCAGGGAGTCTGGAGCCGGCTCCTGGCACAGGACTCCTCATCGCTGTCCCCTTCCCAGGTGTACATGGCGGTGCCGGGTGCCTTGCGGCTGGGGGGGGGGGGCGGCTGAACCTTTAAATTGTGCCCCCCCACTAGCAACGTGTGCAGTTTGGGGGCAGCGCCCCCCATAATCCTACAAACTCCACCCATGCCCCCTGGCACTATGGGGAAAGGGCCTCAGGCAGGAGCTATGTCGTTGAGGCCGAGGGACCATTTCTCTTTATGCTACCCCACAGGGTGCCAGAAATCAGAAGCTTTCCAGGGAAAATGGGCCACAGGATCTCTGCAGCGATATCTATGGGTGGTGATTCAAACTGTCTGGAATTGTTGATAAATTGTATCGTTTGACCACACTTTGGTTCATTATTTTGTTATGAAATATACTCAAGAGCCCAAATAACCAGTGTCAGGCAGGTTTATTAATATGGCACAGGAACAAGGTTCAATATGATACCAGACTCCAAAAAGTCGGCCTGTGGGGCTATGTGGCATTCCCCTTACACTGACGGTGCGCTCCCCCGTTACAAATTTCAGCTGCTATTATATATGATTTTACAAGTTACACATTTTGACAAGTTTCATGTCTGCTTGTGCCAAATGAAGGTATTATGGGATACTAAGCTTAAGTGAATGAACAGGATTATGGCATAGGCTGTTTCAGCAATATCACTGTTAAGAACATAAGAACGGCCATAGTGGGTGAGACCAAAGGTCCATCTAGCCCAGTATCCTGTTTTCCGACAGTGGCCAATGCCAGGTGTCCCAGAGGGAATGAACAGAGCAGGTCATCATCAAGTGATCCAGCCGCTGTCGCCCATTCCCAGCTTCTAGCAAACAGAGGCTAGGGGCACCATCCCTGCCCATCCTGGCTAATAGCCACTGATGAAGCTATCCTCCATGAACTTATCTAGTTCTTTTTTAACTTATCTAGTTCTTTTGCTACAATATTTGTAGTTAATATTATTGGTAGTTAATGCATACTACTAGTGTATATATATATTATGCAGACAATACATATTATGAATGTGATATATATCTATATGTTATCCAGCATATATTAGGCAACAGGAACAAAGGTGATAGCAAAATAGAGCAAGACTTTTCCCCAAGTATTTCATTAACACACACACACACACACACACACACACAATACTCTGTTTCATTAATTTATTGTCAGTATCAGAAAGTGAACTTTAAATACTTTGTGCCTGAGATCACTCTGGTAAGGATTTGGGGATTTTTGAAGTGCTCTTTGAGGTAGATACATCTTTCCTCGCCCCCCTCTCTCGACCTGGTGCATTGTGCTGCTGTGTGGTAGGGTTAAACTACTGGGGACAGACTCTCAAATGTTCAGACACCACAACTAAGGCCAGATTTCCCATAGAAAAGGTTGGCACCAGCAGCTTCCATGGTGGCACGTTTGGGACAGAAGAGCCCAGCACTAAGCACTTATTCTGGTGACTAAATGGCCCAGGATGTGTTGCTGCATCTCAGATCTGATGGAACATCGGGGCAGATACAGTATTTGTTCTTGCTGCATGTACAACCGTGGCTGTGGCTGGGTGTGTCAGTAATAAAGGCCAGATGTTCCTGCAAAGCACGAGAAGGTACAAGGAGCTTTCACACTCCTCTTCACACTCCTTCACACTCCACACACAGGGCCGAGTGAGAAAAAGGTCATGGCCAAGATCATCTTCTGGCCAGCAGCCCTAAGCTTGTGTAGGGGACGGTGTATAGCTTGCTGTGCGTCGGAGGTGGAGTTCCCATCCCAGCTTACACAAAGCCCCCACAAACATGCCGTCTAAGTTACTCAGAAAACCTCTCCTGCATCCTCTGCTTCCTCATCGCTCAGCAGCCCCCGCCTGGTCAGCCTAGAAGCTTTTCCCTCGGAACAGGAGAAGAACCCGGTCACGAATCTGTTTGGTTTTCACACCGTACACAATGGGGTTCATCATGGGAGGAAA